GTCTTGCTGCATCTTCCGGACTTCTTGCCGAAGGAGTTCGTTCTGCGCCGTGAAGTCCAGGTCGCTCGTCGAGTGGGGGCTGTCCAGCAGGGAGGTGAAGCTCAGCACGTCGCTCTCGTACCCGTTTGCTTCAGTGGAATACTGGAAGGGCACTGAGCGGGGTAGAGATTCGATGAAAGTCAAATTCCGGCTCTCGACCACGGCCCCGTTGGATGGATTCAATACCCGGTAGGTCTGGCTGTCGAGGCCGAAACCACATAGCTTGCCTTCGAAAGCTCTGTCGTCCAGCTTCTTTCGGTATCTCTCGTGGTGTACGAAGGCGCGCGCTCCAATGACCCGAAGTCCCGAGAGATCAGGTGACTTATTGTGCAACTTCGAGTATGGCGTAGCTCCTCCCAGTGCTGAGTGTGGGGACCTGTTGAACAGGTATGCTGCAGTCAGCATCAACTGCCACCACATGGACGGCGGAAAATCTCCATCCTTCAGAAGACACCGGGTGACTCCGGCCAGGGTTTGTCCGTCCCGTTCCGATTCACCAATTTGTTGAGGGGTGTTGGTGGCGGCGTATTCGAGCTTGATAGCTGAATTCTTGCAGTAGTCCCGAAATTCGGATCCGGTGTTCTCGCCTCCCTTGTCGCAGCGGATGGTCTCGATCCGGTAGCCTCCTGCCGCTGCGACGCACATGTTGTACGTGTGCACCGCCTCGGTCGTGTCAGATTTCTTGCGAAGCAGGTACACTTCTTTCATCTTCGTGTAGTCGTCGGTGATCTTGCACGCGTACGGGGAGGAGCCTCCTTTATATTTCGCAGGTGGATTAACAGGCCCCATGTTGTCGATGACCACAAGCTGTCCAGGCCGTGATAATTCGCGAGTCGATTGCTTCGGGTGGGGGGACTGCTTGTGTTTCGCGATCTGGCAGATCCCGCAAGGGGAGAGACTGTCGCGATAGTCCACCCCGGTACCCGTGTCCTTCCGAAGGATGTCCAGGCTCCGAGCATTAAGATGTCCAAGCCTACTGTGCCAGGTGTCCGCGCTCACTAGCGTAAAGCAGACGGCGTTCGCCGTGTGGGTCTGTGACTGCTTCTGGTGGGGCACGAG